GACGAAAGTATGCTCTTTCGGAAAGCAGGTAGTAGAGAAGGTAGAGACGGAGTACGCCAGGTTTGAGAATGGCAGGTTCGTTTACCGTATTAGCCGTTCACCTATGTGCGAATATATGATTAATTTCATCCACAAACTGAAGCACCTGCCAGAAAAGTACATGATGAATAGCGTTCTCGAAAATTTCACCATCCTTCAGGTATGACATCATATGTGTCAATGTGTTTTATATATTATGTATTATAAATAATTCTTTATTCTTGAATAAAAACTTAAAGATTCTTTGAAATATCGGATTCAAATTTATTTAAAAAAAAAATTATATTTTGAGTTTATCCCATTAATTTTAAACTTATTTGTCTTGATTTTACCATTTATATTACAAAATTCTGTTAGAATATTGATATTATTATATTTCTTCTTCTTTATATGAACAAAAAATTAGTTACAAATAATTGTGCTATAAATGTTATAGAAGTATGTTATAGAAATATTTTCTTATTTTTACCTTTTTTCTTTTCAGGTTGTCACGAACAGGGATACGCAGGAAACGTTATTGTGTACGGCATATGTGTTCGAAGTATCGGCATCTGAACACGGTGCTCAGCATCACATATACAGATTGGTCCAAGACTAGCCTGCTTGAACCTGCTCGCTATGCAGCCATCCACCCCCATCAGTGCCTACCATCACATAAAGATCATCCATATACATATACACACATGATTATATTGTGAAAATACAATATATGCATATAGCAGAGTTCCTCTATTCTAAAGTTATTGGAGTCGAGCAATGTCGAGCATTTCCTCTAATCTTTCCTTTATTTTTTATTCTTATTCCAAATGACACGAATTGATTGGAAATGTTATTACATAGTATATTTTGTTCTCACTGTATTATTGTGTCAAATATGACAAAATGGGAAACAATAAGCAGTAGCGTAAAAAGAAAAATTTAGTTTAGAGGAATTCAGCTAATTTAGAATAGAAGAACACTTTAGAATAGAGGAATTTGATTGTGCGATATAATGCGTAAATATGAGAGTTTCGATGGAAAATATTCGGTCGATGACATAAAAATTATGGAGAATCATTCTATAAACAGTTGTAAATACTGAGTAAATAATAGATGTTATAATAAAACTTCCTCTATATACAATTATTATAATATTGCATTGCCTACGTTTTTTTTTTTTTTGCAAATTTTTGTATGCGAATTTTTTCTTATGTAACATATTAATTTCATAAATTTGAATTTTATAAAGAATATTTTTTCTCATTTTAAAGAATTAGTTGTAGAGAAATATTAGAAAATAAAAGAAACAAGTTGCGCGATATTTCAAGAACCGGCTGTGCATGCTAAGAAATTAAATTAAAGATGAAAAATTCTAAGTATAATATAATAAATATTATAAATATCCCAAAAAGAGTTTAATTTCTATCCTCGAACTCGAGTGTTTTATAACGCAAAATAAAATTAATGAAATATGTTGCGAACGTTTTCCGTGAAACTCCTTAATAAGGACTCTACACACATATGTATACATATATAATAGAGTACTGGCCAGCCCGAGCTTGAGTTTGATTCAAAATTCACACTTTTAGTAACTTAATTGATTTAATTACACTTTGTATTGATCTTGAGTTAATAGATAAAAATTTGATATGATAATTAAGAAAAAATTTTTACTTTATCCCGAACAATATCTTTAAAATATCATACAATTGTAAATTTTATAATAAAATAGGAATTAAAAAGTTTTTCATGTATATATTTTATCATAATCATTGTCCTATTTAATCGACGTCTCAATAAACCGTCGATTAATCTTAAAAGAGAATCGATTTTAATAAGAGAGACTATATTGTAATGAATTAATTTAAAATCGACAATAAATTTTGGTATAAAACTGCATAAAAATAATTATGCAACAAAAATAAAAAAAAGAGAAAACAGAAACAGACTCTGATCTCGGAAAGGCATGGTACCTCAATATTTGATTTAGTATTATAGTTTTATTATTACATTAGACGATATATTATAGAGACTCGAGACAAGAATCATCCACACACAGATATACATATATTACGTATAAGAGTATATATGTTAAATATTAATGCAATGATTACGATTTACATTGTTATAAATGATCGTGTATAAAGTTATCTAAGTGATTTCTAAGTTTTAAAAGAAATGAAGTTTGACCGAGAGATATGCCATTATGATTTTTTTATGTAATATGGAATACAATATTATATATTGCTTTAATTATCAGATTTATAAGTAAGAGACAAAAGAAAAAATATTGAAATATTGAACATTAACATGCGTTTCTTTAAGCTTTGTCACAGAACTGCTTTTCACATCATGCTAAAATTCTTATCAGTGAGAATCTTGCTATAGCGATCAATCTGCAATTGATCATTAAAAAAGAATGATTATTTATATATTTTTTCAAATTTAATCTTATAAAACGCATTTGCTAATGTGCAAACCCATTCTGATTAGGCAACGACACTTAGGTTAAAGGGATGTGTTTGTATTTCTCATAATAATCACTTTGTATTCTAAGATCATTTTCTATAGTATTTCTTACTGACGAATGATTTTCTTTACTTAGCGTACTTTGTTTGTTTTTATCTTTCTCTACACTTACAAAGCGATATACCAGATCGATATACATCGATTATACAGATGGAAGGCCATCATAAGTTATAGCTATGTGATAGGAACTTTGATTACTCTAAAAATCTGATCTTGGCATTTTTCGATCAGGAGTGTATTGAAATCAATCTTAAAAAAAATATAGCAAAATATACGGCGATTTCATAGTAACATGAAGCGTCGATATTCAAATTATGGTACATCGTTCAATCTGATTTCAATATCGCTCTTCAAATCTCTGTAAGTTAAAAGTATTTTTCAAAGCACTGATATAAGGGGATACAATAGCCCGTTGCAAAAAAATGTTTCGTACTTAATAATATTATTTACATATTACACAAACATGGACCATAGAGAATGCATACAGAGATTTTTCATGAACTTAGTGGCAATTGTTTAAACGAGTAGAGGACCATATCTTGCAGTTGACTTTATTTAATCACATCATATATATATATATATATGTGTATATATATATATGTGTGTGTGTGTGTGTGTGTGTGTGTGTGTGTGTGTGTGTGTG